CCATGCCAGACCCTCCAGAAGCACATGCAGCTCCGACAGCATGGTATAATCCACCATGGTGACCATTTGTGCAGTTTCCATCTGCAGAAACACCTGAGTTATGTCTGCCACCTCCAGAGGTCATGACATGCTTGGTGGTGACACTTTTGGAACTAATCCCTCCTCCGGTTCCCAACCCAGCCCCATGAGACATCCCATGACTGATTCCAGCTGCCCTGCCTACTGAGCCTCCTGCAGTCCTGGGGCCCATCGTGTGGACACACGCTGCACTCCCCGTAACTGCTTCTCCCACGCCATTGAAGGTCCCAAGATTGTGTTCCACGCCTCGTCCTGCAGAAGCACCATAGGCCATTCCGACTCCCATTCCAGGTGCACACTCACCCGCTGGGTAGCCACCACTAACCATTGCTGCAAAGGTGGCAAACAAGACAGGTCCTGTTACTTTCATGGCAGGTTGGAAAATATCAAACACACAATATTTGGTTACTCGTGTTTAAGTGGGGGAGGGGGGTGTTCAATGTACTCACCAACACTGACAGGGTTCCCTGTGTAAATCCTGTTAAGATGAGAAAAGTGAAATGTAGAACCAGAAGTGCAGGATGGTTATGCAGACCATACTCAATACGAAGACTCAATATTTCAAAAAGAATCATTTTGCGTTCTTTGTCTACAGACAGCACTATATTCACTGCCATAATGGGCAGTACCACTATTTAAATATGATGTTTTGGGTTAGGGCTAGCATATCTGGGCTGCAGAAATCCAGATGGCCATTAAATGGAAGCAAAGCCCTATTGAAAACTGACTCGGCTGCCACCTCATGGTAGTCTAGATTTTGGTAACTCAGACCTGGTGGTGTGCTATTTTAACAAATGCTCAGAAAGGGGGAGGGGGCAGAAGACCCCAAGTGCAACATGTGAGGATTTCATCCACACAGTTGAGAAATGAACAAAATGGGAGAGGTGGGCTGTTTCCAGTAGCCATACATCCTACTTGTTCCACCATCCTTGTGTTGAGAGACCATCCCTTGATCAGTCTTCTCCAGCCTGATTACTTCTAGAACGAAGAGTCTACAGATTCCCAAACTCTCAACAAATAAAGGTTTGGTCCCTCTGGCAGAGAATTTAGGGAGTTGTAGTCTAAAACATTTGGAGGAAACTGAGAAGTTATAGAGAAGAGTCTATTCTATGTGCATAGATTCCACCTCCTATCTTATGCAGAAACATGCACAAATATTTAGCATTATGTAAAATGATGATGATGATGATGATGATGATGATGATGATGATGATGATAATAATAATAATAATAATAATAATAATAATAATAATAATAATAATAA